TCCAACTCCCACTCCACCTCTAATTTGTGTTAAGGGGGAAAAAAAAAAAAACTGCTCAATGGTGTAGGAGGAGTGGAGATAAGCTCGAAGCAGTTAAGTATAATTAGCGAAAGTAATAGCTGGCAAATGGCAACAAGGCTAGGTTTTTATCTCCTGGAAAGATAGAGTTATCGTAATAAGCTGTAATGGCTGGCAGGAATGCTAGTACTCTGTGCAAGCTTCCATTCACGCTCATAGACTTAACAAGGAACAATTTCCCTTGAATTTACTGCTTTGCTCAAACATTTCCCTATGTTTATGCCCTGATACTGTAAGTCAATACACGTGTTCAGTCCACTTTCATATAGATTGAGGGCACACACTGCTGTATTGCCATGTAAGCACTTCTGGCTGCCAGCAACCGGCCATGTTTCTCTGCTCTCTCAGAGCGGTTACTCATGTCCTATTTCCAGAGAACATGGAGAACTGAGCAGCACACCACACTCGTATGCCATGTACAAGCGATCCACTCTACATTTTAAGTAAGGTGGCTGCAACCAAGGCTGCTAAAGCCCCTCTTGGAGAAAACATAGCAGGAATGAAGGGAGCAGATTAGGGCGTCACTTACAAATAAGATTGGGAAGCTTGCATTCCAGGGAAGTGGAATTTAACTTTAGGCCTGCCATGGGTGCGAGTGTGAGGCTGTTCAAAAGGCTGTGAGGCTGTTCAAAAGAGGAAACGATACGGTCACAGCTGCTCTCAGAGTCATGCATTCCATTTCTTCATTTTCTGAAACTTGATCATTCAGTCTCTGGAGAGAATTATTAAAATAGTAATAAAAATATCTACTTCCAAATCTTCATGATGGCCCATAGAAAGTGCTTTTGCTACTTATCATACTAATTCTGCTCACACGTGCCCATAATTCTTTAAGTTATCAGCTGTTAAATTTGAAACATATTTGCTGTCACATTCGGTTAGGAAAATTTCTATCATCTTGGAAATTAAAACATGAAGCATCTGTGATCCAGGCAGGGCGAAGAGATATAAAGGAATATAATTGAACAAAACATGCAACCTGTCTAAATCTGTGCAGAAAATGAAAGAAAATGAAAATTCTATTAGTGTCTAATGTCCCCCCGCCCCCCTCCCCATGTGCTCTTCATCTCTCCAGCAAAGTATTCAAATGCAAGCCCTGCCTTACCTCCCCGTGTCTCTTTTTCTCTAATTATCCATGAGGTCAGTAAGCAAAATGGGGAAGAAGCCAGGAGATCAATACAAATTATCCCTGAGCAAACCAGTGCTGACAGTTTGAATTGCAGCATATGTTTACCCAAAATCAGGCAATTTATCTTAATATCAGGCGAGTAATGCAGCAGGGGTGAGAGGTCACACAATCTCTCCACCTCATAATTACCCGCCTCTAAAACAGGAAAGTGGTATTGATTGGCCGCGGGCCGGGAAGCGGGCGTGACTGGAACGTGCCACTGACCTCCCCCCCCCCCTCCTTCCCTGCCATACCTCCCATAGTTTTCTCTGTCCCTCCACCTCCCTTCGGCTAGACTCCCTACCCAGCGCAGGATTTATGGGATGAGTGTGGAGGGTTTCATGTTTCCTTGAGGCGACTCAGAAGTCTTACAGAAGGCGTAAGAATGGTGGAGGGGGGGTGTGAGACTGCCTTCCCTTATCATTGGAAGGTCAAGGAGGACCAGACAAATTTTGGCATAGGATCATTGCACCTCTTCATAATAGCGTAAAGTTTATGAGTGAGAAGTAAGAACGTGACGAGGTGTTGAGGATTGAAAAAGGCTTGGAGGTGAAGAGGGTAAAAATGTGGAAACACGCCTGTCAATGCAAGAAAACGTAACGAGAGTGGTCCCAATGATTCTTGTAAAAGCTCAGCAGCTGAAAGGAAATCTTTGCACAGAGGAAAAAATGTGCAGAGGAGTGCAACAACTGCACATTTATTGTTGAGACTGAATATAAGTGCTCAGTATATATCATCAGCAGCTCTTACAGGATTATTGACATTGTCTGTGCCTGTCTGCACCAGCGTTACACGCTATGACTACAAAACTGTCAACTCATCAACTGACAGCACCGTTTAGCACTAATGCAAGTCTCCATCAACTGTCAAAAGCATTTGCATGAAATCAATAGCAGATGGCGGTCTATGTCACCAATTTCATTACGCCAGGGTTGTTACAAAGATCATCTCCATGATAGATGAGACGGCGACATGCCGGCATGGGGAGATCATGTCTCGTGCTGGAATGGGGACTACACTGAGTTCTGACACTAACTAAGACAAGTTTTAGTATATATTTTTGGTCTGGCACCAGAACCCGGTTCAAACTGAGCCCTCCAAATCACATTCATTGTAATTCTTAGACAGGAAATTACAGTAGGGGCATCATTAACATTGTAAAGATATGTCAGAAAGTCAACTTCTCCTGATCTCTTTCTCGCTCTGTACTGTACATCTGTCCGGCAGAGTTCCCAGCATGCCTGGCGGGTTGTGCAGGCCCCAGCTGAGGCAGAGGACAGGAGAGCGTGATGTATCACCCTAAGAGAGCCCACTGACAGCCTCTGATGATGGATGGCCTGATTATGGAGTGCTTTTTACACATACACAATTTACATCACACTGAGCAGCAGGGTCTGGCAGGGCCGTCGAGCACATACGCGTTTTCCAGGCAGGGCATGGGCACTCACACTCTCGTGTGTGTACACATACACGGGTCTGCCAGAGTGCATAGCATAAGGAGGGGACTGGAAATAACAAAAGAAAAGGGGGCAAATTCCTCGCTACAGCCTTGTCATGTACGATCAATATGGCAGATCAATCCTTTATTAAGGAGAAGATGGCTTTCCCTCCATACATTCCAAAGCGGACCTTTGTCATTTTGAGACACATGATGACATGTCAAATCAGATTTCCAGCAGTGTATGTAGCTGTGGCATTGGGTTTATTCAGGTGTATCTCCACTATTGGGTTGAATACTACTGTGTTTGTAAGCTTGATCCTTGCTATCGATTAGAGCCCCCACATTGTCCATGCTTGAGTACATAATTGCTTTGTTTGACCATGCCCGAGTTGGCAATTACTGTATTCAGCATTTAGCACTACTGGTGCATGTGTTCAATTGTAAAAGCAAGTTTGAATGAATAAGAAATTAGTGTCTCTGTCAACAGTAGGTGTAGAAATAAAGTCCTGATTCCCATTTAGACCCGTTTCAAACCAGAACCCTTTATCTCAACTCCCAGCTCTTTGGTTCTAAGGGCTAAAACCCTTTTTGAATCCATATCGTAAATTTAGAATTTATGTAAAAACAGGGTTGAAGTTTAATACAAATGATTTTCAAGTTAACATACTCTTAATGGTAAAATATCTACATATTTTTTACCATCAGAACAAGCAGTATATTCTGTAGTTTAATGCATATCACGTTCTCTTTGCAATAATTTTATTTATTACAATATTAGTCAAATACTTTGACATATGATTTTGATTCATCTCTACAATTCTCTTCAGAGTAGAATGCTGAATAGTCTATGTTTAGTGAGAATTTTTGCAGAATTCAAATATGTCACAAAAATAATGTCTACTGCAGAACTTGCAGATATTTTTTGAATATATATTAGGTAAGATTTGTGATTGGTAAGAACTGATTAAGTATCAGCTTGAGGAAGAAGCGTCCTCTTTTGCAGTGGTAAATTTTACCCAATCCCTTTAATAAGTGCAACAAGATAAAGGAGTGGGTGGTGTTAGGGGTAACCCTAGGAAATTGGAGAGATTCATTTTGTGGCTTTTTTATCACCGGCCCTGACTCCTTGACTGCGTATGAGCGTGAATGCTTATGGTGTGTTTAGGACTGTTTTCTGCCAAAGCAATCTTTTAAAGACTAGTAGACTTTGTCCAAGTGCAGTACAACATAACATTAAGGTTAAGGGTTAGAGTCAGGTTATGATGTTGGGCAGGTACTGGTGATGGTCAGGGTTAGGTACAAATAGACTGACTTAAATGGACAGAAATCCGTTCCACTGAGGATAGACATACCAACTAGTCAGTGTGTGTGTGTATTTCTCTGTAATTGTAGGGGGTTTTGTTCACTTGCTTATACATTCAGCGGGTTCAGCGAGCTGTGTGGTGTTAATGCTGAAATTACATGCTGAGTAATGAGTGATGGGCCAAATTACAGGCTGAACAATGAATAGAGGCAGGCAGCTCTTATTAGTCTCCATAGAAAGCCATTGATTTATGAAGCGCCTTGCTTGGCGGAGTTACTCTCCTGAAAATGATATCTACATTGAGAAGTGATGTTCTCTATTAAGCCATTCCTTCCCCTTTTACACTGCTCTCCTCCTTCCTAACCCTCCTCCCCTCGGCCTCTCTGTGAGTGTACACATGATTGTTTAGAATCAGGCGGAGCTGTAAGGAAACCTTCAATTACCCATTAGGACTGTCAGACATAAAACGCCCGGCTCTCACCAAAGTCTGGGTTATGATTCATTTACTTTGTGCCTCTGATTCATCGCCCAATATGCCTCATGCCCCAGATTACTGTTTGAGGGGTGGGAGAGATTAATGGCTCCATGGGATCTGCCACCGTATTTCACAGGCCCAGTGTTGCAGTACAGTTGGTGCAGAAGGGTGAAATGACAGCAACTTACACTAGATCAATGTGTGGACAGTCTTTCACAGATTATTAAAGCTCTGTTAGATTAAAAGACCCCCACTATGTAGTTTACTGTAGTCAATATTCCCAAACAGATCAAAAGGGGGAGGGTCTCACAAAAGGATTCTTAGACTGATGTAGGTCATGGCTGCTAATGAAATAGCACTAGGTGACACAAGTGTCAAAAAGAATCTGTTTCTGCATCCCCCCTTGAGGTTTCTCTGAAATTAGGCATTCTGATATTATTTCTGTTCTATAAACTCCCAATTCTTTCAATTAGTTCCCTCATATCTCAAAAAAACGCTGTGAATTAAATCTAATCCCCCCTTTTCTGTTTTGTAGCCCTGAATGAGCCCACCATCGACTACGGTTTCCAGAGGCTTCAGAAGGTCATCCCCAGACACCCTGGTGATCCTGAGAGGTTACCAAAGGTCAGTACATTGTCTTAACAGAGTGGAGAAATGAATTGCCGATATCTTTAGATTAGTTTTAATCCATACTAGTTTGCTTGTGAGGCTTAAGCTAACAGTTAGTCCAAGTAGGGTCGTTACCCATTGGGTATACCTGATAGTCCTTGGTAGCTTGTTGTTGGAGAACTACCCTTGTCTAATAGTTGTTGAACAGAGTACAGTCTAGACAGGTACTTCAGGTACATCACAGGTAAAAACGAAACTAGTAATTAACAATGGAGGCATGCACACTGGTGATGTGCCACAAGTGATCTTCTGTAAAACATACTGAAAACTGAACAGCGGCAGCATATAACATCATAAAAGGATGCTTGCACCTAAACAATGTATTGCTTGTTAAACCCATTTACTTTAACATCAGGATGATTTTACACTATACATTGTCAGTACATGTATTACCAGAAATGGGTAGAGTACCCAAAAAATGTACTTAAGTGAGAGCAGCACTACTGCATTTTTTTTTTACTCAAGTAAAATTCTTCTCATGACATTTCTCAAGAGTGAAAAGGTACTTCACGTACTGAGAAGCATTAGATCCTAACATGTGATGTTTGAAATTAGGCAACCAGACTGAGAATTGTGTATATTATTGTCTTTCAATGTATTAAAAAGTTAATTGAAAAAAAAAAAAAGTAAGATGATTATGAAATAAATGTAAGAAATACTTTTAAATACAATCTTTACTGTAGATAATGCTTGAATATTGGGAAAAGATCAAGAATTTGCAGTGACAACATCTGCTGTTTACTCTATATTCACCAGAGCTTTGGAGTTACCCAAGGTGGGGAGAGTATCCAACTCATTTTACTCAGTACAGCATTAAAACGTATGACAAAGCACAAGTCCTCCTGAAATATTTTTTTAAGTGACTATCTAACTCTGTGGATTACAAAACAACATATTTTGTTGGTGCCATCACCTGTAATCATCCACTGCACACACAAGGTACATTAATATTTTGGTAAAATAACATTTACATCAACCACTGTGATATTTGTGGGATTTAATTTTATCTAGATCTGACAGGTTCTCTGCCGCAAATTTCAGCTTCTATGATCAACTGATCTAGATTTATACTTAATCAACACAGCCAGAGAATTAGGTACTTGAAGTAAGATATTAACTGCTTATATTCCTTTAACAGAACCTTAACAGAAATCCTGAACGATCCAGCTAATGTCTTGATAATACTCTGTGACAAATAAACTAAATAACATTCCCATCAGTGCAGAGCACTGCAACCCTAAGCGCTAACAGCTTTTGCTCCACATATGTGGCTCACCCACCAACCAGCGTGGTAATGGTATTGGTTTTTTGTGTGTGGGGAGAGAGGCGTAAACTCTCTGTGTGGTAAAATAGCTCAATCAGGCGTTTTCCTCTCCAGTAGTCTGTGGAGATGGTAATCTGGTCAGAAACGACGCCTGCACCCTCATTACCCCACTCATGTTTTCCTTTCATTTTCTGCGGCTCGATTTGGTTTAATCTTTTGTTTACAGGACTCTGTGCCGTAAACCCTTCTAGTCTTACTGCAACTAATAGACAAAGACTGCATGTTATTATGCTTTGGCTTTTAAAATGTTTTGTTTTTTTCATCTTCCAGTTGAAAGTCACATCAGTTTGGCATCACACATTAATGGGCCAAAGTGAGAGAAAGAACTTAGCATTAAAACGGAGGTGTTCGCGTCTTTGTTTTATAGATCCTCGCTTGCGTGGTCTTTTTGATCCCTTTATTCTTTTACTTTGATTCTTCCTCTTTCAGCTTCTCACTGATATAATCTGTGTGTTTTCTCTAATTGCCACCCTGCCAGTAACCATTGTGATGACCAACCCTTCAGATGTGTCAAAAGTAATAATATGACTGATTAGTCAATTCAGAACCCCTCGGCATGCCGTAAAGCGGGGGCCACCTTGGAGTTTTAATAATACTGGGAAACCTTTAAAGACCTTACCTATTACATCCCAGCAAGCAACACAACAATATTATTAATGTCCAACAGACAATTTAATAAAGAACAGAGTGTGTGTTAGCTATAGATGTTTGACCAAGGCATCCTGGAGAAATGGAACTTCACAGCTAGTCTTTGGCTCAGTATATGAAATGTTTCAATTAGACCTGGTCCCTGCGGAGACAGGAAGCTACACCTCGACATGAAATGTTACTCTAATTTCAGGGGTAAACGCTGACCAAAAGGTGAAGTTCTCTTACCTTTTATATCCGCGATTCTATCTCTGCTGGTAAGACTAGAGTTTTACAAGGGCTCTCCAAAGTGTACACCTCATGTTAAAATGGTAGAACTATAAATCATTTCACGTTGTTTCCCACATACGTGAAAATTGTCCTGTACAAAAACTGATTAAGGTGGAAATCTTGGACATATTTCCAGACAACTCTTTTCTACAGCTCTTTAAGTGACCACACAGGTCAAATTTGGTCTAGGATTCTGTCCAGGCAATTCCAAAACTTCAATTCTTCTTTCCAAACACTAATATCTCATTAAATAGGATATATGCTTAGACTTCTAGTAATGTTGAAAAATAAAACCCCTCTTCCATTTGAGGTGTTAACAGACAACATACACTGCTGGTTTTGACTCAAAACTGACTCAGAATATTTTAATTCATTTTGAAAAAGATCCAAATTTCCAAGAAACAAACTCTCAAATCATGACGTTTCTTTCACCTTGTGTCACTGTAGACATGTGGTTCTTTTAGAAGGTCTTTTGGTGTTTATAGTCAAAAAGATCTTTTGGAATCATGGCCCAAGGTTCTAGTTTGGTTTTATCCCACTAAAAATGTTACTTGAAATAAAAAAGGATTTGTATAGCAGTCCAATTTCTTAGTTAAGGTACCTGTAGTTGCAAGAGAAATGGAAGTTTTTATATAAAATACAATTGTTGTTAGGAATAAGTTTGTGAAGCTTTCTAAGAGCTCTATCAATCATTTAATATCGCTTTCATTTTACATTTTGGTACTATTCTTCTATCTGATAATACTGTTTTGTGAGATCATAAGTTACTTTTCAAAATGAAAGAGGAAGCTGTATAAAAAGCCTGCAAGGCCAGTTGATCCATATTCCACACTGATAAGATTGACTTTAAACATGATTTGACATCTTTGAAAATATAAACATATTAAATGAATTAAAAGGCATTTCAACCAAGTATTAGTTTAAGGGTATAATTACCTGAGCAACTAGGTTATTGGACCTTTTTCAAATAAAAAAAAAAACTTCATTGTTTTTCTGCTTTATTTTTGCATGATATATATTAATGTGAAAAAGATTACATTTTATTTACATCACAAAAACCTGGCACTTCAACACAGCTATGTACACTACTGAGAGCCACTGTACAGTATATGAACAAAGTCACATGTTTTCTGCAACCACAGACCCAATGTTACCAGAGGTAACATGGCTTTATTACAAAGAAACCTTGAATATAAAGCATGGCTGGTTGTTGGACAGATTTTGACACTGAGACCGAGATTAGTTTCCTGGGTGAGCGTATACTTAATATAGCACGGTCTCTCGGCCTTTGCATGAAACAATCAGAGAGTGAGATGAAACCCTGCACTCCCAATAAACAACATAAATATTTGATTTGCTCTCTAATGGACCCAAATATGGGGTTCAGGGGGCATGTAAATGATCCCACGAAGTGATTCGTCATTGTTAAGCTTGCCATCTGAGGGTCAGCTCTCGGGGTCAAAAGCACATTCCTAATAAAACAAGCCTGCGGCGGGCCGAGGCTGCCGCGCACATTCGGAATGAGAGAAGGAACGGCAGAGAAGAACCATTACATGGTGCAGGTGAGGCAGGGAGACTCTATAAAAAGAAGATAAAGCTGGAGGACAGCGCGATGTGCATTAGCAGAAAGGCAAATCGACACCAAGCCCACTCACCACCTCTATCCAGCCACCCCCCCCTCCTTCCTCCGTTCTCTCCCTCCCATGACTTCACCCTCCAGTTGATAATATTACTGTGCTATTGATTTCCACCAGCCTTCTCCCTGGGACCAGTAAGACACGTGGTAATTGTAAGGAGACAGAAAGCCAATATGGGAGTGCTCATGGATAGCAAGGGATGCACGCTAATATTGTTGCTACACAGAGAAAAAAGGGGGGAAGCTGCCTCTGATTGAAGTTTACCTCGTAATTCTAAGACAACATCGCAGATGACAGCCTGACCCTGTGGGAGGAGTAGAGATATAAAAATTCAATGCAAAGTCCAGGGTGAATATGAAAGTAATAAGTGTGAGCAGTCAAGTGATGAGAAAGGAGATTGGTTTGCGGGCATGGCGTTAAGTGAAGAGAGACTTTGGAATTCACCCTCCTTTTTAAGATCTTGTTATAAAACAATTTTCTATTCATAATATAAAAAAGACAATTTATAATACCATTTTGTGCCCTCTGGCAGTAATGGACAAATAGACTGGATATCACATTATATCACACTCAATTTCTCTCCTCTGCAACAAATTAGATTCATTATAAAATTAAAAGTGGAAACTCAATATTGTTTTATTATTAAGCTGATTGCTTTGGATTCTTTTCGTTCCCTCCCAAAATGAGCATAAGCCCATTCTTCTCCAATTCTTTGTGTAATCCACAAGGAAAAAATATTACAAATGTGTTCATGTCAAGCAATTACCCATGTATTTAAATGAATCTCTCTTCCTGTGCTCTTTGAAGTACCTTCATCTAATGGCCCTATGCTTCTAAATGCATTCATTACCTCGGGCTAGAGCTAACAGAGTAATTGCCTTACAGTTTTATAATGGCATTAGCACTCCAAGCTACATAACCTAGGCCCTCTTTTATTAACTGTGATAATATAAATACAACATCCATGTTAATCTAGTGCTTGAAGACTCCTTTTTTTTTTCATAAGACATCATTTTGGATTTTTGCCCTTAGCTTTATGCCTTGGCAATCACACGAAGCAGCTTTTAAATCTTAGGTGATCAGTCATCAGAGCGTTTTAGAGGAGCATGAGACCATTTATGCAGAGCAATCCCAAACAATAGCAGAAATCAGTCACGCATTTGTCACAGAACAGCAGAAATCATTTGAAGCCGTTAATTGTTTCAATTTAACATGGTGTGTTCAGATATGTCTCCATGACAAGAAAGCCAATTACACTTATGCTGGAGCAGCATTTGAGATTTACATGGAAATGCCCTCGGAACGCTATTCCGTACTAATCGTATTCACAGCATGAGCTGATGCGCATGAAGGAGTCTCGTCAGAAGAAAACAAACTTCCTTCCTTGATTGGGTGCAGCACTTCTCATCATCCGCCGATATGACTAGGTTGCCACTTAAGCATAGCCCCTGCGAGTCAGCTTGGTTAGTTAAGACACCACGCGGTAAACGACAGATTAAGGATGAGAGGCAATATCGTTTTCTCCCCTCCTCTTTTTTTTTTCCAAGCTGTCCTTATGTCACTGCTGCAAAGTACCATATGGACAAGGAGGGAGAGGACGTTTCGCAGAGAATGAAACATGGCTTCCGAATGCGACAGTCTTAATTGCTTTAATTGTTGTTTAAAATTGAGAGCCATGTAGGAGATCTTGAAATATGATAGAATAGATTATTGGTAATTATTAACTGCAGACAAAAAGAAAGAAAACCACTTTATCTCACTCAGCAAGAGAGAGAGAAATCTGTTCTGCCTGATGAGAACACATCAAGACAGCTGGGCCTCTCATTTAGTCTACCTGCTTCACGACAACCATAATTCTTTATTTGTATGCAAACTAGATGCATGCAACGTTGAGCATACACACCAATTTCAGAGGTAAATGCCCATTCTAAGAGCCACCCATCCGGTAACTTGGGGTGGATTAAGCGATATGTTTCTATAACAGAGCATGGCATACTCTGCAAGTGGCTCCTACAGCGATTCATCTTGATAAATCAAGGACGTAGGCTAGATATGCTCCTTAGGATGAAAGGGGGCCCCCTTACACACGCTGCGTACACACTGCATACGCTGTGCCGTGGTGATGCAGGCCAACTCTTGGAGGCCGCTGTTTGAAGGCGCGAAGGCTGTGTTTACATTCATTTACGGCAGCTGCCGTCTTAATCCCACACTGCCATTGCCAAGTGATGGAACACTTCAGACAAATTACCGAGGCCTGCAAAAGAAAACACAGTGAATGTGGGGAGAAAACAAGCACCATCTGAGATGTTTCTAGTGACAGATTTGCATTGCTTTTAACCGGAGTTCTAACAGCGCAGTCGACAAATCTCTGCTCTACAGCAGGTGACAACAAGAGAGCATTTTAAACACACACACAAACATACAACAGCCATGACTGCAACTCGCCTTTGTCAGATTAAATGCACTCTTAAGAGGAGGAGAGGGTTTTCATAGAGCAAACTGCCTTCTGTATTATGGAAAACAAAGAGAGCAGCCTGGTTTCTGGAGAGGGATTTAATTGTAAGTGCTGAATTCAAAGAGCCGATAAAGACACACAAACAGGCCAAAACCCCACCTAGCTGAAAGCCCAAAACATTGTACGTGTGTGTGTGATTGTATGTGTGTGTGTGGTTGGGGGGGTGATCCTGGGCCAACTCATTTTCACTGTTAAGAGCCAAAGCAACACAGCTAATCCGCATTGTCAAGCGGGGGCAAGCATGCAGACATGGATAAGACCACATCCTGAGCATCCGTGTCCCCAAGGCACGAGCACCCAGCTCTTGCTGGATGGGAAGTCATTTGTGAAGTCCTTTGCAACAGCCAGTCAAAGAGGTTAATTGAAAAATTCCTTAATGTCATTACAACAGAACTAGATTAACCCAGAGCTAATTCACTTTATTGTTCTGAAGAGAGGGGACTCGGCACTGAACTCTGGAGCAAACGTGGGGCCCGGAATCAGGGGTGAGGTGTTGTTTTTAAAGGACTATGCCAGTTTAATTAAGATAGGGAACATTATTCACTGCTCTGCATGGTTGGAAGGAGCAAAATGGTAGTGCTGTATAAATGTACCTCTGGTGCCTCTTCAATCTAGGTGGCTCTTATTTATGTAAACATTTTAAAGCACTTTTAATGTGCATCTCTCTGTCTGTTATACCTGTACTTTGCTTGCACAGACACACCCTCCCACACTGTCCTCAAAAGTAATAACAAAAACTATTTTAGATTATATTTTGTTGGACTACCACGTTGTTCATGGTGTTTAAAAATAATAAAAATAAGCAATCGTTTCATCCATGTTAATTAAATTTTTCTATCATTGTCATTGATCTTTACTGCTGGGATGGTTAGACTGCTTTGTAACAAGTTCTCAAGTGCATCTAACATTTTTAAGAAGAAAAGTCTGAACACTGGAGAGGAAAAACATGGTGCCCCATCACTCCTTGAACCACTCTGTCACTATCTATGCCCAATAAATGCTGGTATTATCATTCAATTGGAGTTGGTTGCTTAAATAAACATTGTATGTGGTTAATAATTTAGTAATAAGCAATCATTGCATTGTTAAGGCTTATATATCTTGAAAGCAAAAACATATTAATCACTCCAAGATTTTTTCTTTTCAAAAGCAGGATCTTCTTTTAGATAGGACAAAGGCCTGAGGGGTGAAAAAATCCTTTGTGGGAGTAACTTTTATTTCCTTTTACTGTTTCCCTAATTAGGAGGTGTTACTGAAGAGGGCGGCCGATCTCGTAGAAGCCCTGTATGGAATGCCCCACAACAATCAGGTACCTCAAAAAGCCTCTCAGCATGTCTGATTTACACATAAAGAATTTTTGATGACATAATTAAGGCTTACATTCAGCACTATATCTAGGGGAAAATAGTGCTGCGAGTCAACTCGACAGCCATGTATTATGCATTAAAAAACCCTTTGCCTTCTTTTTGCCTCCCAGGAGATTATTCTGAAGAGGGCAGCTGACATCGCAGAAGCCCTATACAGTGTTCCCCGCAACCACAACCAGATTCCCTCTCTCGCCAACACAGCCTCCCATGGCATGATGGGAGTCAACTCCTTCAGCAGCCAGCTAGCAGTCAACGTGTCCGAGTCACAAGGGAATGACCAAGGTGTGTGATTTGGGAGTGTTAGCTCCATAACTTAGAGGTGCTCAAAAGGGGGTTAGAGAAGGATCGCTGTCGCTACCTGGAGGAATGCCCAGCAATTTACAAGAATAGGGAAAATATGTTCACCTTTTGTTGGCTTTAAATAATAACTAATACAGAATTTCCAAATGTAACAACAGTATTAATATGAGTCATCTTCTATATATTAATTCTGAAAGTTGTAGTATGTTGTCATAAAAAGATTTGCATTACATTCATCAGTCTTTTATAAGGTCTTTTATAAAACAGTTTAACAGCTATTTTACAACCAAGAAACTGACAGGAAGTTTACCATCCTATTTTTAGTGTATTATATTAGATCAAAGCGGGATTAGCAAGACTGGCATTACCAAGACAGTCATTTATTTATGTCTTCTCTATAATGTTGCAAACATTTTCAACTCCAGTATGCTCTAAAAGAAGAAAAAAAAGAATGCTTAATATAATTAGCTTAACATTTAACTTTCCTATTACTGAAAATCTTGTTCTGTCTCATACTCTTAATTAACTGCAGCTATGTTTCGTTTTGTGGAACATGGTTTCCTTTTGGATACATCGTCTTCTGATTTAATTTTTAGAAACATCACCAAAGCTGAAAAAGTGCAACTTTTACTTTTCTTTCCTTAGTAGTAACGTCTGCTTTAAGGGGCGTGTTTATAACATGGGTTCACTGATATTAAAAAAGGTCTGATTTCTGAGTTTCAAATCAAGTCATCTTCCTCCTGTCATCTGCAGATTTCTTAGTACATTTCTCTACTCACCTTTCTTACTGAGGATAGATAAAAGAAGAAGATACATAAACTCTGGAAAGATATCAGGCAGAATTATGTTAAATAGAGCCATCACCATTTAGTAGATGTGTCTCAAAATGTTAGAGATGGCTCTTAAACAGTGTCCTAAAATCTTTGTGCTACTTCTGACAATATTCTTAAACACCATATGTGTAAAATGCCTTTCTTTCTTCACTCAATGTAAATGGTAAAAATAGCGCTACTTCATGGACGAAATTTTGATTTCAGAAGTATTTTTTTATATAACTAACTTCGGCATGTTTAACTATCCAATGACAGACCCGAGTCAGTGGTGCATCAGATGTTTGTAAAGTGAGCTTCTCAGAGTGACAGCAGTGACAGCCAACTGGTCTTAGTGCTCGACGAGTGTCTGTGTTCTGCAGCGTAACATTGTTTTTGGACAGTAAAACATGCAGGAACAAAAAAGGACATTTGAAAATGTCCCCCCGGTCACCCCAAAAAATTACGTTGATGCACTACTTGTTAGCACTTTGGTACCAGAGGTTCACAGAAACATCTAACTCATAAGTAAAAAAAGAAGTTATTGAATAATTACCTGGTAAAGATCTTTGATCAAGAGCTTCACCCCATAAGAAAAGACAAAAAATGAATGAATGTCCTTCTGCTTCTTACATTTGTGTCATCCAGTTGGCTACAGCCGGAACACCAGCAGCGTGTCCCCCAGAGGCTACATCTCCAGCAGCACCCCACAGCAGTCGAGCTACAACACAGTCAGCAACAGCATGAATGGCTACGGCAATGCCGGTATGAACCTGGGTGTGCCAAGCTCCCCAGGGTTCCTCAACGGATCCTCTGCCAACTCCCCATATGGAAGTGAGTAGCTTGCCACTCTTGCACGCTGTAGTAGCACTAAGCTGCTGCTGATTTAATTCCAGCTCCCGCATTTGTTTGCACCTCTACCAACCGTTTCTAATGGGGGTGAGAGTATTATTGATGGTGATCATATGTAAGTGTTCATTCATAAAAGTTTGTTTTCCGTTTCAATTCTTTAGCGAACACACATGTGGCTTATAGTTGTGAACATGTTAGGTTTATTTCACTACATTATACATGTATTTGTTCAACCGGACAGAATGTTGACCATAGAGGCCTGTGAGTACTGATCATGTGTCCTCCCCCCTTTGGCAGTAACTCTACCCTGGCCTTACCTTAACTGCCCTCTCCCCTCTCTAGCACCGCTCACAGCACGTTCTCATTCTCGCCCTCCCTCCTTTCCTTACCCTCCCTGTCGTCTCCGCAGTTAAACAAAAGAGCGCCTTCGCCCCTGTGGTCCGACCCCAGGCCTCCCCACCCCCCTCCTGCACCAGCGCCAACGGCAACGGACTGCAAGGTGAGCCCCCCTCACCCCCTCATCCCTTCCCTACGGACTACTGGTCAGATACCGCTGCTCAGGCCTCTGTCCGGTTTGGTGAGGGATTAATCATTACAAATATATGCATTTTGACAGGCCAATTTACACCTTTCACTTTACATTTAGACGCACACACTTGCAGAGAGCATGCCAACACACACATACAAACACACACACACACACGCGTGAGCAGTACAGCATAGGTCTGAAAGTGTCTGTGCAAACATTTATGCATACATACATCCTCGTTGAACTTACATACAAATGATCCGCTCCGATGTCGCAGGACAAGACCTTCAGCGAATTGTTTTAGTAATTATGTTTATTAGGTTTTGTGCGTGTGTCATGACCAACATGATTGCATTGAAAACAAGCTTAGCTGTAGCGCGTGCCCCAAGATTAATAACATTGGGCTTAATGAAGTGGGAAATTAAAGTTCATCTTGCTACACGTTCATACTTATTAATACATGTTGTGCAGAAATTAATGAGCAATGCCTTGCCATCATCTGCGCTGGCAAACTTAAAAGCATTTCAAGCATGACTCTACAAATATACTGAGAGCAATACACTAATATATCATCCTAGCACTTCACTAACCGCCTAATTGTTAAAACATCTGAAAATACTGAATATATAAACTCTTAGGGTGAACTACAGTTGCTAATGATATCCAAAGCAGATGGTCTTAGTGAAATAAAAAGGAGCTACCTTTGATCTTGCCTAATCTCTATTGGATAATGACGCAAAGGCATACGATAAAGAGACAAGGGAAAGAGACGGAAGTCAGAAATGGATCTGAGTGGGAGACTGAGAAGAGTTGTGGTATTGCAGGAAGTGACCATGTTGTTTCTCCGTCATCACCACAGCCAGCTCTCCTGGGAGTCTGGGGCACTGTTTGCCATTACCCCGATGGCAGAGAAATATCACACATAGCAGGAGCGGCGTGCTGTGGGCTGAAATGTCAGAGCAGGAGGGAGGTTAGAGGAACGTATGGCAGAGAGGGCCGGCGGACACGGCAAACACTCGCAGGCACATGCGTAAACAGGCACATTTAAAGGCTTACATCCACGCAGTTACAGCATCAAGTGGCTGGACTCCGACAAGCACGCACTGGCACACACACTTTACACATGCATGCACTCAGTTTTTAACAATTTTAAAATTTATAAATCTAAATCTGTAGCAGCCAAAGCAACTAATCTGCTCTCTTGTCCTTTCTCTATCCCCCTCAGCCATGTCCGGCCTGGTTGTTCCTCCAATGTAAATGCACTTTTGTCATCTTGAGCACCAGTCGACACACTACCACTTCACAGGACACTCCCCCTCTCCCCAAACCCTCTTCCCAAGCACACTGCAAAATGCCGGTGCAATGTATAGTCAACTGCTCGTTCTGAAGAAAGAAAAGAGAGAAAACAGTTTTTTTTCCCTTTTCAATGACTTTCAGAACCTGTAGAAAAAAGGATTTAATGAGAACAATATTTTAATGGGTTTTTTTCTGTGGGATTTTATTTTTCTTTACCCTCCATACCCCACAATTTTATCAACCTTTGAAGAGGACGCAGGATGATGAAGGATTTATTTTGTATACCTGTCGAGTTGAGCTTCAGCCTCGGACAGCCGCTCTCAGTACTGGAAAGGACTCTGTGGACTCACCATCTGGTTGTAAAGTAAAAACACTGATGTACAGACCATTTGCCAACAAACTTGTATGCCTCAGTTTTTTTTCCTCTTGTGTTTCAACATCTTTTAATAGATTCACAACAGTTGTGCGTCTTTATAATGTGACTTTTTGTATTTTTATGTGTGAGAAAATGACACAGGGGCCAAGACCATTTAAATTTCAACTGGAAAAATATATGAAATATATAATTTAGCAAAACTGATCATAAATGTACAACAAATATGAAGTAAAAACAGGATTTCTTTTCTGGTGGGGATGGGGTGGGGGTGGGGGGAGGGGGTGATGTGTCATGTTTAATTCCTGCATTTTAACTTAAATTTTGTAATTTATTGTAGTTAGAAATCATCTTCAAAAGTGAAAAAAAAATCCTCGGAGTCAACAAGCACACTGATGTGTACAAAAACACTGCTCTGTTGATGAATATGATGTACTTCCACGTCTAGAGCTTCCTTTTAAGCAAGTGTGTTTTGCCATGTTTTTTCAACTTTTTTGCTAGCACTGTATATTAATGCATTCCTAGGCTACTGTGAAGTCTGTTTCTTGTTGATGAGGAGCAGTCTCCTTTTGGCTCCAACTCCCCTGTGTTTTATATGTGGTTAAAAAAAATGTAGACTATTGTGATATTGCCAAACTTGTGCTAAATATTTATACATCTGTCTTTTTCATGTTCTTTTAGATCAACAAAAAATGAAAAAAAAAAATGAAACCCATTGAGAATGTAGGAGTACAGTAGGTCATTGTCATATTTCTGTTCAAATACACACTTGCGCTCACTGAAGGAAATTTTGTAACATATCAACTATAAATAATGTATTTATCTCTGAAATTTTGTATATTGCTTTTCATTATGTATGTATTAATCGTCATGCCCTTAATATAGTGATGCAGCACAGATAATTCAGCCAAGAACTGTTGCCTTCATTTGTTTTTCTTTTTTGTATTTGATGAAATGCAATGTGCATATATTTCATGTGTATCCTCAAAATTTTTGTGTTACACCGTCAAGACTCTCTGTCCATTTTTTTTAAAAGGGAAGTCAAACTTCATTGTTTATTTTTATATTGATTTTAAATTATCTATACCGACCATTTTGGAGAAAACTTTGTTGGTTGTATTGTCAAATAAATTGTTTGTGACCCATATGATAGTTGTTAAGATCCAATAGAGACAAATGTGCATGAGGGGCAACCTTGGAGATAAAAAAAAACACTCCATTTGTGGTTGTATTTTTTTCTGTTTTGTAGAATGTATAGAAGTCATTCTTACTCACCACTTAAGACTCTGCCACATAGCTTACATGTGTTTACAGGGAAGAAAACTTAAAAATGTCAGCATTTGGAATGGAAACAGAAATGACTAAGTGATGTTTTATTAAAATTTTCAGTAAAAAACAACAACAACAAAACACAATAACTCCTCAACTGTGGACTTCTTCAGTTTTAAGCCCAGTTTGGATGGCAGAAAAACTGACAATCAGGAACAAGAACACAAACAAACAAAAGAAAGACAGTAGATGCATCTGAGGACGAACCTGTGATTCATCTGTAAGATGTAGTGTTTAGACATTGCTATGGAGATAACTGTTTGAAACCTGTGGAAGAAGTGTAACATCCATATAAAAGATAAAAAACTGCTCTTTCCCCATATTCTTTCAGCAAGAGCATTCTGACTTGTTTCTATTGGTCTTTGTATGAGCACATTCTGCATCCGTGGTGCTTCAAAGGTTCATTGTAGTCATTCATAAACAGTGCAAGCTTATTTTATTCAAAGCACCCCAAATGGGGCTCATTCAAATCCCTCATTTCATTGCATTAAGCCACCTAGTTAATAAAGAATCGATACATTGAAAGAGCAAGGTTATCCTTTGTCTATAAGAGCTGGTATCGTTTTGAACCTCTTATAGTTGGAGTTTGAAGGGGAGGGGGGGCTGTGAAATCTATACTCATCAAGTGGGTCAAACAGGAGGATAGAAGTGTTTGAGGCTAGAACAGTGGTTCTCCTTAAAAACAACTGAGCATCTTATCTGGCATCCTGAGTGCTCGTAGAGCGCAGGTCACAAAATGTCAATTTCTCATCAAGGCACCATTGTCAGAGGCCACGTCTGCCTTTAATGCACAATTAAGTGACAGCAACCCGAGTAGCAATCAGCATATCAGCAGCTTATTATGTCAGCCTGCATGCACAGATCTCTACGGCACAGGAGATCCTTCTGGAGCTGCTGATAGTGCAAAGGACAGATACACGAAAAGCAGCAATGTAATTTTCTGCAAACTTCAAATAATTTCCCTGATAACCGAGTGAATCCGATAACAATGGGGACATCTGCTTCCTGACGTTGCATTATCTATTTCAGATACACAGCTTTGGATCCATTACCACGCCCTCTGCTTTGTTTTTTTTTTTCGTTCTTTAAAAAACAAAAAAGCAAAAACAAAGGTACAAAACTCATAATAATCAATTAAATAAAAAACAAATATACAAAACCTGAGGATACATTTCAGTGTTATTGAAAAGAAGCTATGTGAATATTTTCAGGTAGCTCAAACGGCATCTTACCTGCTGTAAAAACAGGAAAAACAAACTGACTAGTTATTAGGGAAGCGAGCTTCCTGTTTGATACAAAGGCAAACATTCTTTAGTCGTTTAAAAGTCCTTTAATTGATTTTTAGATTTTGTACTTCATCATTATAGCTGAAAAGATTGTTGCTACCAGCAGCCGATAAAATCATTCTTACCTTTATTATCAAATATATTTTTAGAATAATTGATTTTAGCCTCCAGGCCTCAGCAACAATCAAAGTTACCTCTGTGACCTTTTTGGTAAATACATTTTCATTCCTGTTTTTATTGTTTTTTTGTTAAAGTAATTATTAAATATTAATAAGTTAAATAAAATATTAAAATATAACAGTTAATATGAAGTACAGTTTATTTTATTATAAATATTATGTATTCTCAGATAAGAAAGAGCTTTAAATGTCCTGCTCTCAGTCTCTGTTTCATTCAGGAAGGTCACTAGTGGCTCAGCTGTGTTTGCTGAGTAAACAGTTATTTGCTTCACTGTACTGCAAATATCTATCTGATGAAATGCAAAGATGGAAATGCAATTTGCCTAAAAACCCATAAAAGTTTAGACTTTGGATAGCAGAAGTCTAAAAAAGGTCTATGTCATTCTTGGACTGGCTGTAGCACTGTTTTGGGATTTCTCCATGTAGTTTGAATGTTCTCCTTGTGCATGCGTGGGTTCTCTCCAGGTACCCCAGCTTACAAAAACAGTCCAAAAACGTTGTCCTTAGATGTGAATGTATGGTCTATGTTGCTCTGGGAAAGACTGGCGAGCTGTCCAGCGTGTACCCCCATAGAGTGTTGGCCCCACTGGACCCTGACGTAATAAGCGGGAGAAGATGGATGGATGGCACTCTAACAACACCATAAGCCTATGGGACCAACAAAACTGATTTTATATTAAATAAATAAATATAAAAAAATGATTATCTACTGAGGGGTAGATATCAGGTCCTGATAACTATTTAACAGAATCTCACATCAACAATCCGTAAGCACCCCCTTTAAAAGCTGAAAATCAAAGGGTAAAAAAAACGAATACATGACAAGTTGCTGGGCGCTTTAAGACCTCTGAAGCCTGCCAGGCAGGCTGGAGGTACAGTATATATAGTCTCAGCAGGTTTCTTTGTACCCAACAAACAGCCACTAGCTCTGCCACACCATTCAATCATCGTGAGAGCCTCTTTTATTGGAGAACTCTAATGGCCACCCTCCACCATGATCTTAATGTGTGCATTAAATATTTATAAATCCTGGGTCAATAATGCCCCATAACCAGAGCCTGACAGACCCCCACCGTACCATGTGGCTGCCTTGCTCTCAAACAGAGGCATGGGTCATGGGGTCACACAATCAAAAGAAAGCAAGGCTTACCGCATCCATATGTTGCCACTCTTATCAAGACTTTCCTCAGTACTGGTTATCTGTCAAAGGAAAGAAATATTGAAAGCAATATCGATCTTAACTAGCCTTGTGTTGCCGAGGGCCACTTTTCAAACATCTGCTCGTGTATAGTTATATTTCAAAAAAAAAAAAAAAACTGGGGGGAAAAAGTCGTTTCGGTAATAAAAGCCCAAGCTGTAATATTGAACATCTCTGTGTGACGCAGGCACCCTGAGCATGACTAATGACCACGTTATTAAGAAGCATCACTGGAGGTTTTTAAAGTGTCAAATATTTCTTCATCAGTGTCAGGTTAATTGCGCCGCCTGGCATCTACATGGGTGACTCACTTGTTTTTGTTTTTTAAATGTGACCACATCCAGGCTGCGCTCCTGAGCTGTTCAGGTGAAAGATTCTGCTCCGGTGATAGCACGCACAAAAGAGCAACCGGACAATGGGCCAGTCAATGGAGAGCTCCAGTTGAAAGCGCCACAATGGCCATGCATGCTGGGAATTGGGCTGGATAATATAAAGGAATGAAACCTTCATTGAGGCCATGGAGGACAAGCATTCAAAAAAGAGGTTTTGTTTGCTCTTTATCAACCTGCATTTTCCCATGAGAAAAAACAATTCAAACTGACCTTAAAAAGAGAATATATATTACCTTGTGCATTTTGTCCTGATGTAAGTTGTATGCTTATAGGATTTGCATTCATGCTTAGGGGCATTATGTTGTTCACTATCAAGACAGATCATAAAACTAAGAGGTGAATGGTAGTTTATCTTCTCTGTGCAATGGGCAGTGTTGAGAAGTACTTTTTAAGGATTTTCTCTTTGACAGAGGGGATTTGTTTTAAACGCTGTGTGCAGGAAAATAAAAAGTGGCTGCAACCGTCCTGTAGTTTATGCATGAGACGTAGAGCACTTCTGAGAGTCATAAAAACTGTACGAGCAGAGACCATAACTTAAAAATGAAACATCTGACCTTTTTGAACAATTCAGTACTTGAATCAAAATAAGACATGACCCCCCCCCATTCTTTTTACCCTTTTTTTTTAAAACACTTCTACATTAGAGCCGCCTCATGTCTGTGATTCTGTACATCAGATAAGACACCGCTCCCCTGTTACTGTACACTGGGAGTCAGCTTTGTCAGGAAAACTTGTGAAAAGTGGAAATCTTTTCGATCCTCGCAAAGATTTCCACTTCACTCGCTGCAAGTAGAGAAGTAGGAGCAAAATATCCCAGTGCTTCAGTGTCCATTAAACTTGTATTCACATGTCATTTGATACTTCATCAATGT